TTGTACGAACCTGCGCAGTTGGACATATGTTTTTTTTTTATGAAACACTATTGTAAATTAAAAAATAAAATATTAATTTGCAATTAACAAGTAGTTTCCCCTTGTACGAACCTCGCAGGTGCGTGCCGTCGATGCTAATAATCGGCGGGCAACGAACGAAGGTTTGAATGGCGGGGCCGAATTCCCAGAAGACAAATCTGAATTCTCTGTCTCGAGATTGCTTCGCCATTTCTCCACCCTGCCATTCCCACTCAACGACTGTACCGGGATTCGCCCTTTGAAGGGCGGCGAAAAACCTGCAAATTATAAAAGGTAACCATAAATAAATAAATAAATAAATATAGTTAAAAACAACGGGCACGTAAATACGTTTATAATTTATTTTTGCTTACTGAGGGAGTTGTGCGAAGTTCATTTCCCACGTGCCATACAGATGATCAATGGCTTTTTTTCTCCCGTGCCACGCCTTTTTGTAGCTGATATCGACGCCCCAGGCACTTTTTACGTCGGCCTGGACCATTTTCACACTGTAGGTCACCTGCTTCTGAATCTTAGCCAACAAAAGATTTGAAATCATGGTGGCGGTCACATTCTTGTGGTCATTTCTCTCGAATACCTGCATGCAAGTGTGGCTATCGGTCCATTCGGTTACCTCCCACATGCCGTGATCCCGTTTGTTAAGACTCACCCGGGCCTTCCATATACATGGTACAACTTCATCTGATCTGCACACAACTTTAAACGACTTCTTGTTGGAATCTTTTGTCCGGACCGCCCTAAGTTTCTCGACATTCCAGGCATTAATACCAATCTGGGCTTCTTCCTTGGTATGAAAAACTGTACCCAATCGGATAGTCTCGACACGCCCATTCCAGGTTGGCAAGGCATACTCGTCCCTGTCTACACACGACGAGTCCCACTCACCCATCTCGCGATAATCGTAGAGGCCTTCATTTGGAAAGGGGTGTTCTTCAATGAATTCTTGTTCGCTCTCCTCATTAATTGATCTGTCCGATTCGGTTTCCGAGGTCTCATCCGTGAAATCGTCTTCATCGGGAATGAAATCTTCATCTCCAACAATTTCTTCCTCAATGTCCGGTCCTCTCATGGTAAAGCTCGTTCCTTCGCCGAAATTACTCGTCCCTTCGCCGAAATTACTCGTCCCTTCACCAAAATTACCGGCATGCGTAGTCCACGTATCCTCACCACCAAACATTCCTTCGTAACCATATGATGGCGTAGGATCCTCAACCTGTGTAACCTGTGTGTTTTCTTCCAACACTATATGCAAAAACACATAGGACATAGGAGCATAGTAGTAAATCCACGAAAGAGATCTATCATTATGCAGTCTTCCGGTAATAAACGAACCATCCTGTTGTTTCGCCATCAAAGTAATATCCGAAATTGTCCAACTATCACGAAACCCACCATTTTCGTAAATCATATCTACCAATTGTTGATATGATATTATTCCATTAATAACAAATGAACAATCCGGACGAGACATATAATTCGAAAAATTCCATAACTCACTCTGGGGAATTTTCCAGTATACATTAACAAAGTATGGACCGTTAGACGACATTTATAACCTGTTACATAAAAAAAAATTATATTTTACAAATTACAACAACATAAAAAAAAATCAAACACCACGAGAAAATTTCAATTATTATTTTACCAATGTACATTTAAAAATTCAATTATTTTACCAATCTACATTTAAAAATTTAATTATTTTACCAATCTACATTTAAAAATTTTATTATTTTACCAATCTACATTTAAAATGGCTAATCAAACACCCGAGAAAATTTCAATTATTATTTTACCAATCTACATTTAAAATGACTAATCAAACACCCGAGAAAATTTCAATTATTATTTTACCAATCTACATTTAAAAC